AAAAAAACTGCAAAGAAATCTTGAATTTGCCTAAGTAGGTTTAGTTCTATAAAATGAAACTATTTAACATAATTACAGTATAAAAATAAGGAAAGGAGATTTTCACCATAAGAGATACAAATATAAAACAAAATAATTCATGTAAATAAAAGGCCAAAATATGAATATAAACTCAAGATTTAATTTGCATAGCTATGCTCACTGAAAGGGCCTAAAAACAATGATTTCTAGTTTTGTTTTCGGGTTTGTTTTTTTTTTTTAATTTGGTACAGGGTCTCACTACACGTACTGGACTCATAGTGATCCTCCTCTTTTCAGCCTTCCAAGCAGTGGGATTACAGGTGCGTGCCACCACACCCTGTCTCATTCTCCCACACTCCAGGGATCAAACTCGGGTCCCTATGTCTGCCTAAGCAGGTGCTTTAATCCGCTAAGCTATCTGAACAGCCCTATTGATTTCTAATAACAATGAGCTCAGCAAATACCAGACTTAGTTCTAAAATGGACTCAGCATGTAAGAGAAGCAAGACAGAGACATGGCTAACACACAGGTCAGAACGGAGGAAACACAAGGCAACCCTGGGTCTTCCTTTATGTCAGAAAGCAACAAGCTTCTTGAGGACTGATAAAGGCTATGAAAAACACAAACACACCACCTCCAGGCAACTCCCACTGAAGAAATTTGGTACAAGCTTAGTACCAAAAATACTAATGACAATAATGCATAGAACAAGTACAATTTTTTAAATAAATATGTAGAAAAACTGAAATTCTCTTCTTTACAGATAAGCATCAGCCAATAAATATTGGAAAATAATAAAATTAAATGATCACTGTTTTATAAATCCTATTATAACTGACTTTAGCAAAGATCACAAATGGATGAGAAAAGCATGAAATTAAAGCTTGTTGGATAACAGAATAGTAAGCCCTCATACCCCAAGATTACTTACAAAATGGGAAAACCAATATGCCACAAAATAGGTGGCTAAGCTGGTACACAGTACCAAACCTTACCTAGAAAAATTCTTGCAAATGTTTAACCTGAGTCTGATCAAACCTTTAGATCCATAGTTACAGCAAAAACAAAGACTATAACAAAAGGCTCAAAGATAACACAAAGAAAGAATTTTAAACAAGTGCAAAATATAGAAATTTTTATGTTTTAAGGATTAAGATGAAATCTGGACTTCTCAAAATGAATGAGAGGGGCTTTTAGAAGAAGAATAACTAAAAGAAACCAGAGACATAACCAAAAGGTCACATGAATTTTTGATTGAATGCTGATGTGAGGGGAAAAATCTTAAGATTTAACAACTAAATAAGTTGAACATAAACTGAGTAGATTACTGGGGAGTATTAATATTTTGCTTATAGTTATATTTTGATTATCAAGGCAATTCTGATGTAGCAGTTAACGACTCAAAGCAAAAGAGGTTCTGCTAAGAGGGAATGAGAGAGGGCACTTCACTGTATAAGCAAAGGCTCTGGAGACAAGAGTATTTAACAACTGGGAACACAGATCAAGTATTCATCTGTAACACATATGTAAAGCAAAAGTTGAGTCAGCCATGGTGGCCCACACCTGTAATCATAGCACTGGGGAGGCTGAGGCAGGAGGATCACTGTTAAGTTAGAGGCCAGCCTGGGCTACAAAGTGAGTTCAAGTCGAGCTAGAACTGCATAGAGAAACCCTGTCTCAAAAGGACAAAAAAAAAAAAAAAAGAAAGAAAGAAACTGAGAGGTAAGTTGGACACACATACATGCCTGTAATGCCAGGTGTCTGGGGAGGGGGGCGCTAAAGCAAGTGGAGGGCAAATTCAAGGCCAGTCTGGGGAGCTTAACAGGACCATGTCATAAAAGGCTGAGGACACGGTGCAGTGGTAAAGAGCTGGCCTTGCATGCAAAAGGCCTTGGGTTTGATCCTGAGAGGGGTGGACAACTATGAAAGTGTTTGAAAACAAATTTAATTAAAATTTGGTAAGGGCAAGCATTAGCTGCTTCTTAAGAAGGGGTTTGATAGAAGTAGTCATATAAGTAGGCTATCAGAAGTCATATAAGTAGGCTATCTACCTAACAGAAGCAGTAAAAGGGAGGATAGTGTAGTTTACCATTTAAAAGACAAGCGATTAATAGCTTGCTGTAAACAAGCCATCTACTATATAAACTGAAGAAGGACTCTTTCACCTTCTCCCCAATCTAGAAAAATTTCTACATCCACTTTCTCGGATCAGTTGGAGTCCACTTTGAATTGTACATAAATCTGAGTCTTTTTTATTTTTCAGGCAGTATAATAGAAGGCAGTTCATACTTACATACAAGTTGAGATAACGTTTTAGTTATACAGTATTACTGGAATACTACGGTAATGAAATGTTCAGCTAGCTATGCATCTTCTCAGAACACATGTAGTTTAAAGCAGATCACCACGGATTTCCTAACTGGAGTGTTGCATCGAAACCACACGGTGAATGCTTTCAATTCTTTCAAGGTTGGTACAAAAGTAACACTATTTTAGTACACAAAGACTAAGTAAATGCATAGTGTGTGTTGGGGTATTAGGGCTTAATTCTTTCCTGGAATCCCAGGAAACTAATCTTATGAACTAATCTTTAAAAAGGCTCCAAAAGGAAGTAAGATTAGTTGACAGATTTAATAAACTCAGATTGAAAAATAGCTGCAGACTGTCTGCAGAACAGCTGCCTGGAAGGAGGACACTGAGTGAGGCTCTGTTAGGTGAGCCCTGAGGAAGCCGGCGCATGCCTTGGGAGCGCCTCAGTTCCCTAACCAAGTTATTCTGCTATTTAATCCATCTGTGTGTCCTTAAATATTTGCCCCAAAATGATAAAGGATTAGCCATAAACAGGTAAGTGTTAAGATCTACAGCTGCTCACCATGGCACCAGAGTAGGGGAAAGGCCGCACACTTTTATTTTGAAGGACCACAGGCTTTAAGTTGTCTGGCTTCATGTCTCAGCCCCACAGGCACTGTGTGCTGCTCCTAGGTGTCCAGGTATGTACTGGTGCTAAATCCTGGTTTCCAATTCTTCCATACACCTAGGAACGCGGTCAGTTATCACCCACAAATGTCCTGACATTGCAGGCCACCCCCCATCTTCCAGTGCGACCTCTCCGTGCTGGTCCTGCGCAGTACGCTCATCTCCCACCTAAGCTCCATGTCGTTACTTCTTTCTCTGGGAATGCCGCGTCACTCCCACTCATTGCCCTGAACCCTCCGTCCTTCACAAGCAACAAGACCTAGATCCACATCCCTTACTGGACATCCCTGTCCTGACATTCCATACTTGTTTGATTCGTCTTTGAAAAGTCCAGTCTTACTGTCTGTACTGTTAACATTCTGTCATAAAAATTTAAAAGACAGACTAGCTCTCATTAATGTTGTTTATCCTATAAATCCAGTACAAAATGCAGCATTTTGTGTCTCAAAGACTAAGTAAGCTAAGAAACCAGCTCGAGTCTTTCAAGGCAAGACGCCTTGAAAACGTGTGTACGCTGCGCCTCGCTGCACACTGCTTTTATGCACCCACACCTCAGCGCAGGGCCTGGTACGTGCTCACGCTATCTTCACTCAACAGGTACCTGGGGAGCAGGGGCTGACTCATCAAATGGCTTAATTTGCAGGACTCTCTTCAAGGAACTAAGCCACCACAAGGCTCATTCATCCCTGCATCATTTTTATCAAGCATTATAATTTCCATTTGTATCTGATCAGTGGCCTCAGGTATTATTTGCACCTATACAATGAGGTTGTAAACAGACAAATCGATAGAGAATACTCAATTTAAAACATTGCACAAATAATTTCAATAAAATGGGCAGCAATGTTATTATGAGTGATAAATATGAATATATGTACAAAAACAAAGATACTTTCATCTACAAAAGATAATCACAAAAAAACTAAAATACATATTTTTAGTGAAGAGCCCAAGATTCCAACTCCTCCCATCTATGCTATATAAAATTAACAGAGATTAGGCTTCATGTTTTTTATACACCAACAACTTCAGAAAAGTTATACTAAGAAAATGGGCCAATGCAAAAATCATAATAAATATTTTAAGAGCATTCAATATGGAGGTAGATGTGGGTCTCGGCATATTCTAGACACTGTGAGAAAAGACATAATTGATTACTCAGTTTTATACCTTCTTAAATAAGAACTTCTTACATTTTTCCTCTGAAACTTTCCTGACCTTAACACAATACCATAAAAGCGGAAAACACAACCCAAAACCGTACAATTCTCCTACTTCATCTAAAAATTTCATCTTCTAAGATATGCCGTATCTCTTTCTAAGGCTTTGCACCTCTCCTGATATATCATCATGCACTCTTAGTGACATATGCGACCTGCTTTGAGAAGCAATAACTAAAACTAATGGATACACATCAAAAAAGTAGCTTTCTAGATTGTGATATGGGAGCAACTTCACTACTACTGCCTAGGATGCATAACCAGAGAATTATTTGACATTTGCTGAGTACTAAGAATGCAAAGATTTACTCAGAAAATCTTAGCTGTCATTGGCTTCTGTTACTAACTAGATACAGGTCCTTAAGTGCTCACCATACGAAAGAACATGCCAGGAGATTCTTAGGGGTTTTTTTCCATTCATAAGCTTATATCTTTAATTTGCTGCCCACTCATTTTAACTTTTTATTATTCCTGGTATATCTCTAAGCAACTGTTTTCTCTTTCTATATTCAACTACCAGACTTGGTCAGTTCTCCTTAAAATAGTCCGTTGATCCTTGCTTCTTAACCACATTTGTTTCATAGTAATTTTCTGAGCATAACAAAGTTGCCCACCAAAAGCTGCTGCTTTATAGTAACTGTACTTAACTCTGTTGTCAAAGTGTTTATGATGTCAGCTGCTACTTGAGTGTTTCTTTTTACAAAGGTTTAGTGATTCCACATTTGTTGTTAAGTTCAAATATTGAGGTACATTGAAAGTCAGAGGTAAATTATGCTACTAACCATTGTCCAGCTGGATTTGCAATCTGCTCTCCTAATTTCTGTAGCTCAGAGGTATAAGCCATTATTCGAGCATTGCACACCATGAGATTCTTAACTGCACGTAAAACCTGGTCTTTCTGAGTGCTCAGGGAAAGGAGTTTCCATATTCCTTCTCGAATTCGAATTTCTAAGTCTATTTTCTCTTGAAGGCTGCAGTCCTAAAATAAAGACAAAAGCATTTTAAAAAGATAGCAAAAGTATACATTTCTGGGCCAGGGAGATAGTTCAGTGACATAAGCACTTGCTTCACAAACTCAAGGTCCTCAGTTTGATCCCTGGTACCAAAAACAAAACAAAACAAAAACATTTCTTTTTACTTTTAATGAATGAAAAATATATTGCTATCAATCATTTTATACTATTGGGAAAACTGTAATATCTAACATACTAAAGTAGAGCTATTATTAAAAGCTCTTTGCAGCTGTCATGGTAGTAAATGCCTGTAATCACAAAACCTGAGAGGCTGAGGAAGGAGAATCACTGTGAGTTTGAGGCCAGTCTGAGGTCCACAGTGAGTTCATGACCAGCCTGAACTACATAGGGCGACCCTGTATTAATCAATTGATCAAACAATCAAAGCTCTTTGCAAAAGCTTAATTTCTGCTGTTATCAGAAGTCTTTATAACCTACTGAATAAGCCGAACAAAAAGATGAGAAACATTACATGTTCTTACTCTATGCTAGATTGAAAGTGCCCCCCCAATTCATGTCTATCCATAACCTCAGAACATAACCTTTACTGACTACATACAAAGCTCTGCAGATGATATTAAGATAAAGTCCTAGTGGGCTATGATGGGCATCAAATTCAGTAACCAGGGCCCTTATAAAAGGCCATATGAAGAGAGACTGTGATAATGCCAAGGAGCACCTAGGACTAATGGCTCTAGCAATAAGCAGAGACTAAAAAAGACAACTTCCAGTCAGAGCATAGCTCTGCCAATACCTTGATTTCAGACTTCTGATCTCCAGAACTATAAAAAGAGAGAAAAAAACATGTCTTTTTCTAAACCATACAATGCTGGTCATTTGTTATGACAGCCTTAGGAAACATACAATATAATGTGAATAATAGGACACATGCACACACACACCCCACCCAAATAATATCGCGGTGCTGTAAGATGTAGTTGAAGATTCTGAATTAATCAAGGACAAACTTCTGGGAAGGACAGATGCTGAAGAAAGGAACCAAACCTCAGCTATATGGAGATAACAGGTCATTTATCATAATGGGCAGTGTAAATAAAACCCCAGCAATAGCAGTGTGAAACCACTGTGCTTAGAAATGTCAGAGGCCTTGGCTACCTGGAACACAGACTGAAAATACAGTTCTGGACATATCTTAGGGTTTTTGTTGGTTTTGTTTTGAATATATTTGGTTGTTACCGGGTCTCACTACACATCTAGGACTTGTGGTGATCCTCCTGTTTTCAGCCTCCCCAGCACTGGGATTACCTGGTCTCAGTGGCTGGCTCAGTGCACCTGGGGGCAGGGTCAGTGCAGCATGGTGTGCTAGGGATTGAGCCATGGACTCTGCGCTTGCCTAAACGTGCATAAGCAGGCTTTAGTCTGCTGATTATCTCACCGGCCCCTCTATTCTAGTTTTCAGAGTCATGAGGGAATCCCCAAGTACTTTAATTCTGAAAGCCCTTTATTTAATGATCCTACAATGGCCTGACTCTGTTTCATTTTTAGCATTAAACTTCTACAAACTGAATGTACAGTTCTGATTTTATTCATAGTCACTTTGTAAAAATTCTAAATCATGGAGATATTCTTTTTACAGCAAAAAGGCTTACTGTCTATTTCTAAACATTAAGTGACCATCCTGGGGTATATACATTTAAAAAAATGAAAATACTTCTAATATATCAAAATATAAATTTCAAAATGTGAATGAACTCGAACATCAAAAGTTCCAGGTATTAAAGTCAATTAAAGAAAAAACAAGATGATGGTTGGGAACTACTAGTCTATGAAGACCCCTCCCCCAAGAAAAACAAACAATAGTACATGGATTTGGCTATTCAATCAACTGTACTATTCACATGCTGAAAACATCTGTAAATTGCCTTCTATAATTAAAACACTTAATCACCACATAAAAACCGCTTGTAGTGACGCAGCTCAAAAGTGGAGCAGGGATGATGTAAACTATGTAACTGTAGCCATTTGTTGGTTTCCCTCTTTACATGTGACTAAATTGCAACAACTCCATTTCATCTTTTTATAACTTATCAGCCTCAAAGTAAATTCTTCTTTAATATAATTAGCAAGTGATGATAAGGACTCTATCTGTGACCTGCTTGTGTGAAGAAATGCACTCGGTAACTGGCGCCTGTTGGAAAGCACTAGCGGGAGCAACCTGGTGCTGCGTGGTAGCTTCACCCCACAACTCAAATATGAATAAACACTATCTAGGGTGATTCAATCCAACTTTGCTTTTTAAATGGAGAAATGAAGTGACAAGCTGAAGTAGCACAGAGCTTCTCAATGCAGGCTCCCCTCTAGAATGACCTGAGGCACACAGGAAGGGTCTTGGGAAAGTCTTAACTCTGTCACTCTCAACTAATGAGCACCTATGAAGGCGAAACAGGATCTTTTTGCGCTCTCTGTTCTTTTTCTCTTTGTTTTCCAATATCTCCAGTGATTCAGTGTCCAGGATAAAGAACTACTGCTGGATTACTGGAAATTCTACAGCAATCTTCAAAGTTGCAACAACCTGAAGGAACCAGCAGGTGGCTGCAGCCACATTAAGGAATCAGTCTGGGTTTAGGCTTTCCACACGGTGAATGAAGATTCTCTTTTCCTAAATTTTCAAGGTCTCCATAAAATCAGAGGTTAGGAAATAGTGGAGAAAAAATATAAAGTCAGAGTTTCAAAATATGGATATGAAAATGACATTAATATTTATTTTGGAAATGAGACAGTAGACATTACTATCAGAGTTTTACCCTTAACAGCAGGTGTTAGCCAACTACAGCCTGTTACACCTATTTTTTATATGAAGTTGTATTAGAGCACAACCACACCCACTCATATGATCTGACTACTTTCAAGCTATACTGGCAGAGAATTTCAAGAGAAACAGCAGGACAAGCAAAGCTAAAAATATGTATTTTCTGGCCCTCTCTCCACCCCAATGAACACAAGTAGTAAACTATAACCTACCTACCTTCCTTCCTGAGGCAGATCTCAGGGTAGTGTGAGTTAAGTGGCTCTGAGAAGGAAGACAGAAGCAGGATAAACTGGGAAGTGTGTGTAAGCATGGCTTTTTAATAGCATTAATAGTAATTTAAAAGGCTATTTTTCCCTCCTTGGTAGATTTTATTTTAAAGAGAAAAAACAATTAAAAGTGATACAGAATTTCAAGATGATAGGAATTATATTGCATTGCATATTGTTATGTTCCAAGTAGTTGCTCAGATTACCAGACATAAGCATGCAAAATTGATCAAACAATATAAGTACTGTTCTTTTCAATGAGCTAACAGAAATTAGGAGTACAACTAACTTAGCTATCTTGTGTGTATATATGTATATATTTTTTTCCTTTCTTCCTCTTCTGGCTTTTCTCCTTCCCCCATCCTTGTTTTGGCCAGTGCTCTCCTGCCAACTTCTTTTAGTATATATATACATCTACTCTTTCCATGCAGAAAAAACCTCTGGACAAGTAATACTAACTGGCTCTACCAAAGACTGGGTTGCTGGAGGCAGGCCATAGGGCTTCTCTTCTGAATAATAAGTATGAAAGCGCTGCTAGGGAGGACCTGGAGTCTAGTGCCATCCCTAAAGGGAATGATGATTATGTAATGAGGATGCAGTGAGCACTTAGTGGTGATATTTGCTGACCACAAAAAAGGAAGAATACTTACCCAGCTGGGGAGATACCATGCCCTCAAACATGGAAGAACAAGGAGCTAAAATCATCTCTCGCTGCCTCAGCTACAGGCACATGCCCAGGGAGAGACAGCTGATCAGGACCAATGAGGAAACCGTGCCTCCCCGAGCAGAGTGGAACATGGCAGTCCTCTTCTACTTCTGGTCAAATTTTCTGAATAATGATTTGCTTATACTAAAATGAATTAGAAGCCTTTGTCACTGTTCTGAGCCTGTAGATACAAAGTCAAGCTGATAAAAAAAACCAAATGGATAAGACAAGCCTAAGAATGAAGTAGAATACCTTAAAATTTAAAAACATAAATCCAGTGTGGTGGCACATGGCATATCACAGCATTTGAAAGGCTGAGCAGAAGGACTGCCAGAGTTCCAGGCCAGCCTGGGCTACATAGTGAGTTTGAAGTCTTAACACAGTGAGGCCCTGCCTCAAAAACTTTTTTTTTTTTTTTTTTTTTGCAGAACCAGGGATTGAACTCAGGCCCTTGTGTTTGCCAGGCAAGTGCTTATTCTACTGAGCTATCTCCCTGGCCCGTGCTTTTTTCTTTTCTTTTTTTGCAGAAAAAACATAGGGCTGGGCTCCGCAGTAGAGCAATTGGCCTAGCACGTTCAAGGTCTTGTGTTTTATTCCAGTGTCACAAACAAACAATATATCCACATTATGCCAAAAAGCAGACCAGATACACTGTACAGAGAAAATGCAAAGGACTGCCAGTAAGATAAGGAAGTACCCAGCAGTAATCCTGACAGAACTTCTCGTGCACTAAGGAATGTAGTGAAGACATGGTAGCTAAGACGCCAAGGGGAAGATAAGGGGCAAGTGTCTGCAGAGGGCACACACAGAACAGCTCCATTTTCTAAAAGAAACTGTATTTAAGAATGGTTTATGTGCAGTACAAGTCTGTAATTAATACCGGCCATCCTGGGAAACAGAAATGGAGAGTTCTTAAGTTCATTTTTCTGGATACATATATTTTTCTGCAATGAGGCATTCAATCTCAAGTTTTATTTTAAATTTTTTTTTTTTTTTTTTTGGTGGTTGTTGCTTTATTTTGTTTAACACACACAGAACAGACCTCATACAACAAACTTTAGTGTGTAGAACACAATAAGTCGGTGAGACAATTCCACCAAATAGGGAATTATACACA